TCAAGGTGCTCTGGCACCCTGCCTGATTGTAACTCCAGCTTGCAGGTATTTTTAATCTAATGATTGGCATTTAGGGAAGGTTTTTGCAAGCAAAGAAGCTTTTTGTATGTTTATACAGGTAATCCTTGACTTACAACAGTTCATTTAGTGACCATTCAAAGTTACAATGGCACTGAAAAAAGTGACATGACTGTTTTTCACACTTACGCCAGTTGCAGCATCCCCACTCTCATGAGGCCAGGCGAGGAGAAGCACCCCTTGACGTGAGTGATGTTGAGTTGGCCATGCCCACCAGTTCCATGCCCACCAAGCCACACCCACCAACTAAGCCACACCCACAGAACTGGTTGTTAAAAAATTTGAATCCCACCCCTGCCTGTAAGCCACTTAGAGACACATTGTAGGAGACATGGGTGTCATAAAAATGTAATAAATACAAAATAAGACATATTGTGATTGGTCTATGAGGCCTGACGTCTGGTTCACTCTGTGTATCTTAACCATAAAAACCAGCTGTGTTACTTTGGGCCAATTACTCTCTCTCTGCCCAACCCACCTCAGAGGATTGTTGTTATGAGGACTAAAGGAGGAGGAAGGTGTGTTGGTTGTGCTCGCTACCTTGACTTATTTGTAAAAACAATAAAGGGAAGATACAAGTAAATAAATAAATAACATGTAGGTTCTAGTTCTTTTATTTTTTTCCTTTTTTGCATACATTCTGAATTATGATTTGTGTAAAAAAAAATACTCAAAACTTACAGATGATGTTCCAGGCTCAGATATGACGCCACCACTGACATCATTTTCACAGCAGAATGGCTCCTTGCCACCTTTTCCCATATTAATATATGCCCATTTTTGCTCTAGCTCTAGGAAAAGGTCTCAACAGCATTAGTTTTCTAGTTTGTTTAGCTATCCATTTTTATATTTCTGAGGACAGCCTCATTGAAAGTCAGAATCACAAATTTCATTTCAGTTAATTTGCAGAAAAGCAGAGAGATTGGCAGTGAAGTCTGCAAAATAATAATAATAGTGGGTTAAAATCTTACTTTCCCAGAGAGGCTGAATCTAGCTGCCCATTTCAACCGCCGAGAATGACTCTTGGGTTTGCAAACTGCTATAGGTTATGCTACAGTGAGTTTGAGTAGCATATGGCTCAGCAAACAGTGGAAGCTCCGCTATTGTTTATTAATTAAATTATAATATGGTGATCTGGACACAGCTGTTTGGATTTTGTTGACTTGGGTTGAAAGTTTAAGCTTGTCATATACTATCAGTCACAATGTTATGGATAATTTCATAAATCTCCATGTAACCCAGGATCATAAGAGCTGTATTCCAATATTTTCTGGTGAATGACTGAGAAAAACTGTCTTAAATAAGCCCCTTCCTTCCTTCATTACCTTGTACTTTTCTTACAATAAGCTGTTTAGGAGTGGAGAAAGTTAGCAACCCTCCTCCTAGAAGAATTAAATAGTTTAGGAAATATTAAAAAAGCAGAATATTATATTTCCTTGGATGAGAAACTGAGAAACATGCTCTTGGAGACAGAAACCCTCCCCCAAAGCAGATGCTGAGCTGGGGCAGCTTTACAAATGCAGGTTTGGTCATCCATTATTGCCTGCAGCAAGGTCTGGCTCTGAACAAAGGCAGGGCAAAGCCATTCAGCCATAATAGGAATTGCCCTTCATTGCATTGCCCAGCAAGCTTCAACCAAGCCTGGGACTCAGATAGTCTACTAAGTTAGCTGTGGCCCTATAGCAACCAATAGAATACATGTTCTTGCCACAGAAACAGGAAGCTCAAGGGCAAGGCCCAAGAGAGGGTATAAATAACCCCCACTTTCCATTTCATGGACCTCAAATCCATGTAGTTCTGTTCACCAATAAACCATCTTTCCAATCAGCCTCCATGTTCCCAGTGTCTTTCTCCCCACTTGGAACTGAACCAGGTGGATATTTCTTCCAACAGGAGAAAGGAGACCCATATATTTTACTTATCACCCTAATCCTCATCAATCCATTATCCTTCAGCAAAACATTAACATTAATCAAGCAAAGACAAAGAAGATCTCCAGAACAGGGGAAGGCTGCTCATTTGATGCCTCTGAACTAAGAATCTTTGGCTCCTCCAAATTGTCAACTGAACGGGAAGATAAAGGGAAAGAAGAGGCTCAGAGCAACTAAAAGCCTCTGAAGAAGTATTTGAGCAATTGCATCCAACATTAATGTTGACCGAAGGCAGGTGCCTGTGTTTTATGACTTTTTATGGGCTGCCCAGAAAGTGGTTTCTTAGCCAGGGCTTCATCTGGGCCAAGTCTCAGCTTTGACCATCTGACAGTTAAGCAAGATGCCCCTAAGCAGATGCAGTGTACTTTTTAATATGTAAATAAATTGGTTGTTTATCATGCCAATTTTCTGGACAGGCTTGATCACCAGAAATCATTTAAAATCAACCCCAGCACTAAGGAGTTATAACTTCCTCCTCCCAGTTCTATAAACTTATAGCCTCTATTTCCTGCCAGGCCTTACTCCTCTCTGAAGCCATTATTCAATGGGCTTGGGTCTCCCTTTTTCCAACCCAGGGTCACTCAGGAGGAGATGAATCAAGAAGGGAAGTTCTATTGCTGGATGGAGAGGAAGAAAATAGCAAGCAAGGATGTCTTACTTAGGGCTCCCATCCATGTCCTAAAGTGAAAGCTTCTATAAACAATAGGGCATTATATTTCATCCAATTTGTTGGCAATGATTTATATCCTCCAGCTGGAAAAGATATGGGGATCTTGTGGCTCCGAAGGTTTTACTTAACTACAACTCCCAGCATCCTTCACTGTGGCCAAGATTGGCTGAAACTGCTGGTAATGACTGTCTGCAAAAATAGAGCAGTGTTTCTAAACCTCAGCAACTTTAAGATGCATGGACTTCAATTCATAGAATTACACAGCAAGCGTCTTCTCCGGGGAAAACAAGGAAGCTTCTTAATGTGGGACGAAGGAACTTCATTATATCTTGAACTTAGCTGAGAGGTGAGTAGAGATTCCTCTCACCAACTCTGTCCTATTTAACCTCCCACCCCACATACCTTTGAGCTAAAAAGGTCATAGAGACAGTGATGACATCACAAAATTGCCCCCAAGGCAAAAGAAAGGAGGCATAAATCCAGCAGATCTGGGCAGTAAATACTGAAGAACATACTCCATAACAAGCTCCATAAAGACAATCAGTGAGTCCTAGATTTTGGGGTGAGATATAGGGGATCTGGCTAGCTGAAATCATCTTAAATGACTACAAAAATGATCCTGTCTATCTATGTCTATAAGATCCGGTAAAGGAAAGGAAGCTTTAAAGAAAAAAGATGAGCAAAAGTCATGTTCTCCCATGCCCCCAATTTATCAACAGACCTTCCAAATTTTCTCTTCTCTTTTGATCTGGGCACCCAAAATCCTTGTCAAATAGTCCTTCATGCACATGCATGAACACCAATTAATTATTAAGTTTCATATATGAGTAAGAATTGATTATGAGGACTAGTTCAGTTTAATAAATTTGAATCTGCAGTGACACAAGCTAGTTAAAAAATAATATTGGATCATTCACTTCTATGGCTGTCTTTCCTGTCAAATAATAAATGTGCACAGGGGAATCATTCATAGATACGATATCACCCCTTTCATCCATCTAAATGGGAAATGCCTGATTATTGCAGTTACTTTTCTGTTTAATCAGGGAAATCGATATCCCTTATCTCTGGAACTTCCTGCCAAGAAATATAATTTAACTATTAATTGGGCATTGAATTGCATTTATTACAAGCTAATAAGATGCTGTGCTGAATTTTCAAAATATTGAATATGCTGCTGTTTTGAAAATTGTAGCTTTAAATTAAGAATATTAGAGTTTTGGGACAGCCAAAATCTGTTGAATCCTATGGTTTGCTTTTTTTGATTATCTGCTAGACACTTTAGGAAAGCACAGGTTGGAATGTGAGATATTAGGCCTAAAATAAACCAATAGTTATTTAGTTGGATAAATTAATTCAGTTACCAGTTTAAAGTATTTCCAAATAAGCCTGTGTGCCAGCTTTCTCCATCCTAGTCTTCTACAGAAATTCTGACATCGCCAACTTCTATCCCCTCAAACTAGTATTATCTTTGGAATGGGGGATTTTACATTCTGAGACATCTTAAGGCTCCAAGTTTGAAAGATCAAAGAGTAACATCATGGTCAATATGTTCCACCTTCATGTACCATTTATTTATTGAATTGGTGCCCAGCACCAATCTTCAACTAAGAAATGCCATTTTATGCAAAATACAAGACATGCATTCATGTGTAAAATATATATGTATATGTTTTATCACATTGTCAGAGATAAAATGCATTTTACTAATTAAATTTATATGACATCCACCTCACTACCCAGATTTAAAGTTAAACGTGTTTAAAAACACAATTGAAGAGTTTGGTCTGAATAAACATATTTTGTCTACTTTGAAAAAATGGAGAAAGAGCTAACCTTATTTCCTTTAGCAATAAGCTCAAAAACCTCAAGAGCAACTCTTAGGAAGCCTGTTTTGCCCATTCTTTCTAAATATCTTGAGAGTAGTAAGTTCAACAAGAGTCTCTTTGGGGGGGGGGGGATATTATATTGGAGCAGGCTCAAAAGAAAGAAAATTGCCTTTCAAAAATGTCATCTGTAATAACAGAGCACTGTATAATTCTTAGCCAAAATTTTGAATTTTGCTTAAAAACAGGCAGTTGGACAATATGAGCTATTTTAACAAGGGAGTTTTATGAAGCTTTTACAGTTTCCTGCAAGAGTCAAGCTGCAACTTTCTGGACAGCTGTTTCCAAACATTCAGGTAGATTTTCTGGTTAGCTATGGAATTTGAACTTGCAGTTATATAGCCATCCAACCACTCAACTCTGCAGGTTATTAACTCACAGAAAGTTCTGCTCTCACATTTTTCTATGCACAATGATGGTTTAGAATGAAGAAAGATGCTACGGTCCCGGCTGCCCAGTGTCTCAGTAGGAGACGATTATGGCAAAGGTCTTTTCGGCAGGGAAATGGGACCTTTGCAAGAACAGCTTCGCCATGGAGAATACGACCTACTCAAGTTTGCTCCCATGTTGGAAAGTGACTTTGTGCAGGTATGTCTAACAATGATGTTGATTGCCAGAGGTTTGTTAGTTTTGTCACTTGTCGCCAACCATACCTATAGAAAACATACTTTTTAAAATTAAGTTTCTGATAGCAGAACAAAGTAACTTGTAGCAAATTCTATATGTTCCAACAATGGAAGCAGAAAGAGCTTCTGAGTGGATAAGGATCATTCCCCAGATGGGAAATTCCAAACCATCCATTTGTTTCCCCCTCCCCCCATTTGCTCAGGTGCCTTTCCACTGGTTTTTACACTGGGACTACATTTTCTACCTAACATTTCATCAAAAAATGTATACATTTAGGGTGTTCACTCTGGGATACGAAGCAGAACTGGATCATAAAAACAAGACCCAGAGGAAACCAAATTCTTCTGTTATTGGTCTTTTTATTATATATATATTCAACCTACATTAATAAATATTTGTAAAATTATAAGGGAAATAAGGAATGACAATTTTTCCAAATAAGAAATACAGAGATTAAATTGATGGTATTCCTGGGACTTATCAGAGTTGATAACTGGCTGTGCACATATGTTCATGTTTTATTGGAAAGGGAAAAAAAGGGAAATCTAAACAGTAGTACAAGCAAAGGCAAAAAAAAAAAAAAACCTCTAAAAACAGATAATTTTGTACTTTTTCTCCTATGGGTTCTAGATAAAACACTTTATCTAGAAGGAAGATAAAGTGAGATAAAGAAGACTTTAGGTTGGCATTTTACATTATAGAGTTCTTGATAAAGGAACTATCCCAAATGTGCAGGAAAAAAAATCCAAGACATCCAGTAAAACAGCTGTTTCGGTGTTTTATCAGTGTGATCGTGGCATGTGGAAATTTAGCAGTGCAAAGTTGTCACTGTTGGCACCGGAATATGGTGATAAGAGCTGGAGCTGATTTATTATCTGCTTGACAGGCTGCAATTAAAGAGCAAGGAAGAGTAACAGGAAAATAAGTGGTGACTGTAGGATCACTCTTTTCCCCTCACAAATGAGAATGAGAAATTTTGAGCCTTCATGGTGCCTAAAATGGATCCAATGGTGTTTATCAGCCAAGAGCAGCATTCACAGCTGAAATGTGCTGATACTTCTTGATCCTGAAATCCTCCAACCAGTTATGTTGATAGCATTTAGGAAGTATCCCGTCCTTTCTTAAATGGGGCCCCAACTCTTATGCCACAGCTTCTGGAGAGGTGGAAGTTGAACAAATCATGCATATGCCTCTCTTTGCCCTCACTGCCACACATTCCAGAAAAAGCTGCATTTGTAGAATTTTTGCCGTCATGGAAACATGAGAAAATAATGAAATCTGCCAAATGGCAGTAAAATCAGTGAAGGCAGCTTTTTCGCCTCTAACAGCAGCCTTGATTTTAATAAATTAGCAAGTGAAGATATAATGATTTGGCTATAGTAATATTACTACCTGATAATAACCCAGAGAGCAAGTATCTAACAAAGGATAAGTAAGGGGGTCTATTTAAAACTGTAATCCTAGTCATGAAGAGCCAAAGTATTTTCTGCTTGTTTTAAGATAAATTTGAAGAGATGAGACTGAGTTAGATAGGGTGCTAGGTAACTAGGATTCAAATATTTAAAATTTGATTTGGTTTGTTTAATAGAAAACAGGTGAAACAGGTGATGGACTAGAAGAGGGTAAACTGTACCACTGTCACAGAGGCTGCTCAGATGCTTGCTCCTCAAATACATTGGAACTAGAGCTCCCATCCTCCTCATCAGCAGAGCCACTGGGGGCTGAAAATGATTGGAATTTGGTTCCCTGTGGAAGGGGGTCACTGGAGACTTACGTCCTTGCACCCCGTCTGTAAAGAAGCCTGAATGGATGGATGCACACAGCTTAAACTTCTGAATAGGAGGATCCATTGTTCTTATTTGATTCATCTAGAATCAAGAAATACTTACAAAATTAAAAACCTCAGCAATGTGGGAAGAAGGCGGAGCCTCCTCACTGACGGACCATAGATCACGACTCTCTGCGACTATGGTCCATGCTCTTTCATTGGAGAGCCCCGATTATTACGATTAGGGGCTGAAACTGCCTTGGAGGGGTGGTGGAGTAAGGGGAAGCCGCAAGCCAGGTTGAGAGGAACCGCATCTTCCCCCCTGGGCTTGGTCTTTTTTCCCCCAAAGACAACTGCAGCGGTGGTTTAAAATGGCCACCCCGAAGAGGAGGACTCAGCTGGATTAAGATTTGTGCAGGAGGGAAGAAAGAGGTGGATAACATCTGAACCGGGACAACTGGGCAATACAACTAAACAAAAGTACCCCGGGATTAAAGTAACATGGAATTTTTAAGAAAAGAAAAGTGAGCGGCGAAATTACAAAGGGACAGGGGGCAAAAAAGAAAATATTTTTGACAGCTAAGTGGGGCTTCAAACCAGGAAAGGAAGAAGCTGGAACTAAACATTTAACTAAATTGGACTAAAATATTTTGGGAATAAACAGGCATAAAATAAAGCTGGATTTAAGATTGTCAAAAAATAATAATAATAAAGATTACAAATTGGAGACTGGACTGTGCTGGAATATTGAGGTTTGAAAAACCCTAAATAAAAAAATAGGGGGAAAAGATGAAGACTTTGTATAATGGAGAGTGCCACCTTTTCACAAAAACTTGAGCTCAAACAAAAGGGAAAGCATCCTGTTTCTGAATGAACTTGTGTGGATATAACATTAAAGAAATATTGAAACAAAGCAAGAATCTTAGAAAGTGAAAGCAGAACCAGAATAAAGAAAAAAGCAAGGAAAGACTGACTGTGGGATTGACTGATGTTTTTGGTATAGACCCTGGAATAACTGAGAACTTGAAAGAAGAAAGAAGGAAAGTAAAAGTGTTTTTTTTTTGTCTGGACTTTAACGATCATAAAATAAGTGTGTAATGATGATATCTCTTTGGGAATTAAAAATGGAACTTGAAAATATGAGAGAATTACTACAGGAAAGAGGCAAATCACTTTGCTCTGTGTTAGAAAAAATGGAAATGGCGATTGAAGAACAAGAAGAGCTTCAGAGGAGGAGGAGTTGATTCAAGGAGAAGACATTTTAAATAGACAATTAACACAAAGAACACTACAAAGAAGTGGGGAAAGAAGGAAGGTTAAAAAGTTGAGATTTAAGAAGGCAATCAAAAGGGGGAATACCTGTGAAGTCAGGAAAGGCAGAAAGACCCAGCAGAAAAGGGGAAAGGAAGATATTAAGAAAGAGAGGGATATAAACTGGAATGAGAAAAGATATGGGGAAAAGAGGGGGAGGAGAAGCAGTAAGAAACACGAATGCATGTCTTGTATTATTGTAACTTCTTAAAAATAATGGTTTATTGGGAATCAAGATGAGGGAATAAAGGTATATTTTAATAATTGAGGTGTCACACTCAAAACAGTAAAAGGGGGGAAACCTATACTTTTTTTTTTTTAGTGTTAAAATTTGTATTAATCTAGAATTTATAAAAAGAATGTGTAATGGAAAGGGAATATGACAGATTAAAGAACCAACTAAATTAATACGTTAATATAGACTATTAAAAGCAAGGAGAGACATTGTTATTATTATTATTATTATTATTATTATTATTATTATTATTATTATTATTATTATTATTATTATTATTATTATTTGTTGTTGTTGTTATTGTTAGGCAAACACATATTGTTTATCTTTATTTTTAAAATAAATATTAAAGGATTATATTTGAAATAATTGAAATGAAACAAAAAGATGTTTCGATTGAGATTAATGAAAGAGGCTAGAATTAATGTGTTTGTTTCTCTCCTTACTGAAAATTTGGAATGGAAAAGGTAATAATAGAATTAAGTATGAATGTATAATTGCTGTCATATTTGTATGTAAAGGTGATGACCCGGAAATATGTTGTCCACTAAAAAGAGATTTTTGTTTTTAATGTGAAAAACTGAACAAAATTTGTTTAAAAAAAAAACACCTCAGCAATGTGAAATCCTATTGAGGGTTATTTCCTCAGGGCACTTGAAATTCTGGAGGGAGGAGTCACCTGCTTACTTGCCTTCACAAAAGGGCTGCCTCTGCATTAATCTGACTTGTTCTCTGCAGATTAGCAAGCGAGGAGAAATGATTGACGTGCACAATCAAATTCAGACGATCACTGTTGCAGTAGCCTGCACAAGCCCCAGTACGCTGGTCCCCAATGTATTACTTCTGGCTCGTCCCCTCTTCCCCCATGAAGAACCTCCTCCAAAGTTTAAATTCTTCTTTCATCCCCGCTGCCCAGCTAAGAGATATGAGCTCACCAGGTGGGTTTAGTTTTTCTCTCTCAGACAGAGGCTGAGATGTCTCATCTTTCTCAGATCTTCTACTATAGATTGGCACCTCTTTTTATTGATCGGGCTTACGTACTTTCTGTAGAGTTAAGAATGAAATGGACAAGACAATGCCATTGGTCATTGAAATGTTGCATAGCAAAGGATGAGACCCTGGTCCAAGTCCAGGTTTATACCTAGACATGACTAAATAACTTTGGATCTGTCACTCTTTCTCCCATAACATTCCGGTGCCATTATGTTACATGGTCATAATAAACTTAGTGCCAGCTCTACATTTCAAACATTTTCTCTCTCTCATTTACTAGGGGATGATTTAATTATTTCATTGCATGAACTCAGAGAGAGATTGCAGAATATTTTATTAAAGATTGTTAAATTGCTTTAATTTAATGAAATATACCGAACGAAACAACAGCTTTCAAATAGTAACATTATTCACTGGTGTTCAAATAGCTGTAAATATAAACAAGTTGTCAACTATATTCCATGCCCCTCTTCTTTCTCCCTATCTTGCAGGCTTTTTCCTCTGTGTCTGGTTAGGATCTCAATCCACAATCCAGAGAAGAAGCAGCTACGATTCAAGCTGGCAAGCGGCCGTACCTTTTATCTGCAGCTCTGTTCCCAGCCTGGCACCCAAGAAGATCTCTTTGGCCTGTGGGTCAAGGTGGTCAATATGCTGCGACCACCTTCCGACTTGAGCATAAAATCTCACCGCAAGACCACACATGAAACCTCCAGGTCAAAGGTGTACTGTCTTTCTATTGCTAACTTCTATTTGTTTTCATATCATTAGTGGAATGGCATATTATGGAATAATGTATGCAAAGGGGACCATCCCAAGACATTGATAGAGGAAAGGGAAGGAACATAGAAAGCTGCTTTAGGAGGAGTCTTTCCCACACCAACTCAGGGTTATTATATGGCTTGGAAAGCATTCCAAAAATGATGCACAAGTAAGATTAAGCTCAGACCTCTCTGGTTCTTGTTTATTGTAGAGTCCAGCAGGATCCTTAAATGTGGAAGAAAAAGCGAGTGTACAGAGCGTATACTTAGCATCTGAAACTCCCAGCCTTATTCATGAAGAGGTTGCAAGCAGACAAAGTCTGATAATGTCCATGGAGAGCCTGCCAAGCTCCCAAGGGCCCAGCTGGTCTCCCATTGCCAGTGAAGAAAAGATATTTGACTTTGACAACTACCCACTGCCAGAAGGAAGGAGATCACCACGGCAGCCTTTTGAAAGACCGCCCAGTCGCAAGAGCCAAGGCAGTAGGAAGGAGAGGGCGGGAAGCACTGCTTCTTCAAACAGGTATCCAGTTTATTATGACCATATTTTTTTTGCCACCATGATCAGAAAAGGACTTGGATTTCATGTGGGGAGGTCAAAAGAACATGCTGCTTTTTGATAGGGGTTTAGCTCTAAACCATCAATCTATAGGGGCATGGAACAACTGTTAAAGCAAGTGAGATATCCTGATCAGTAGTGAAACCTAGGTCTTTCAGATGCTGCTCAGTGACAGCTCCCAGCCTTCAACCAGCATAGCCAAGACTGGGAGATGCTTCATGTTGACATTCAGCAGCATCTGGAAGGGTTTCTAATTTCTCCCTCTTGATAACTAGAACTGGAAAGATTTCACTTCATATTTCTTTTTCTTTTATAAAGTTTTACTAATTTTCTGCTATTACATTTAATTAGTGCTTAATAAACACTGTGTTGTCTAGGTGATTTGTTTGCTTAAAAATACAAATTACTGTATGTTCCTAATCTTTACCCCTTTCCCCCCATTGTTTCCACTGATTACATAAATTCCATGTTTGATAATATTCTGTATGTTCTTTCTGTTTAATCTTCAGTGTAAGCCTGTCCATTTCTGCACAGTCTAATATCTTAATTATCTCTTCATCTAGTAGTATTTCTCCATTTTTCCAATGCTGCACAAATACAATCCTTGCTGAAGTTAATGCATGATAAACAAAGTGTATATTAAATATTGCAAGTATTAACAGCAGTGATTTCACTTCACATTTCTATTCAGCTATGAAGTCCTCAATTGATATATGTTCTGGAAGTGTTCATCCACAGCTTCCATCATTTCTAGAAAATAATCGGAGGTATAACCTAACACACTGGAAGACACCTGTTGGGAAAGCTTACAGTAAAAAAAAAAAAGGGAATACAGTACATTTGAGTCATAAATCTAATTTATCTGCAGTTTGAACCAAGTATAGACTCTGATCAGATATATTAAAAAGTAGATTTTATTCTGTTTCCATCACAATGGCCAAGGGTAGCTATCAGCCTGACAAAATTGTACATCTCTGCCACAGTTGATGCAAGATAGGCTTTTGAGATTCTGCTTTCTATAGAAAGCACAATGAGTTGAGTAGCTACTTGGGGATCCGAATATCACAGTCCAGCACTGGAGGGCAAAGATTGGGAAGTCTGCAGCAAAGAGGAGCTTGGGTTCTTCAGTCCAATGTGATTAAAGGAGCAAAGCTTAAGGGATTTCTATGGAGAGTCTGAGGAGATTGAAAGAGTTTGTTCGGGATTGTTCTTTCAGGAAAGCCAGTAAGAGCAGCAGAACGAACAGAAAGAAATCACCCCGGAAAGGTAAGACAGGCTATCATCCAAATGTCCCTTCCCCTATGGCTGCTTATTCTTGAGGTGTGCTCCAGATAATAGCCAGTGTCATGCCTACATTATTCATTCCCCGAACAGTTGGCATTCTTGAGGGTGGTTCTTTTCCATGTTATTCCCTACCATGTGGCCCTGGGAGAACTAATTTTTGTAAAATAATCCAACTGCCAGTAATAGAAGGGGATGGAAAGGGAGATGTCTGTCTCTGCCCTCAGCACCTCATGGGAAGAAGCAGCAGCATTTTATTCTATGCATTTTATTTTATGAAGAAGCATTTTATTTTGTTCTCTTTGTGCAGACTCAGCCCGGAAATCCAGCAAGATCCTTTCCCTTATCAGTTTCTGCTCCTGGGGGAACCGGCGGAGAAGCAAATCCCGAGGCAAAGGAAAGAAACGCTGATCAAAAGGCAGATCTTCAGTGGAGGAGCCTCTTCTCCACCTCACAGTAATTAAAAAGAAAAACTGGTTTTCAATTGAGGTTGTTTTGCCAAGCAAAGGATGGTGGTAACAATGATTGTGGGAAGCAGGGAGTGTGGGAAGGGAATTAGGTCAAAAAGAGGCATGTTTGATAAAAGAGACCTTTCTCTTAGATTAGTTCTCTATTATGAGATTTCACTTCACACGCATAGAAATTTTACAGACCTCGGCTTTTAAGTTCAGCGTCTTGATTTTTTTTTTTTTTGCTATCTCATTAAGTCTGAATTCTGATAGCCACTGATGAACTTTGGACTTGTGAGGGATGAGGGAGGCCTACTCAGTAAGGAAAGTGATCCACTCAATTGGGAACACGGTTGCAACAAGAAAGGAATACCCATTTGCTCCATTATGTATTCCATCTACGAGATCCTTATTCTTCTCAAATTTACCTCTTCACACCAATGTCCCTTCTTGCATCCTAGTCTGCTCCAGAGTATAATCAACATTTGGTGTTTTATAGATGGCACTTCCCTCCAGCAAGATTAGCCAGGATGTTTAAATCCACTATTGACCTCATCCCATTCCTAAGAGCTCTGTAAGCGGCGTGCAAAAGTGCACAATCATGCCTACCAAACCTGTCCTATTGTCCCCATTTATTCGTACCTATTTCCTGTATTCATACTGTTGTGGAGCGGCGGTAGATACAAGGCAGAGCTTAACAGCAAAAGGCTTTATTCAGAGAATAAAGGGTTGCCGTGGCTGCCGGGCTAACAGGCAGTCAGCTGGCGGCAACAGCTGATGCCGTTCGACAGCCCCTTTTATAGCCGGCTGTCAAACGGCATCAACCAATGGGAGCAATCGGTGCTCCCGCCAGAAACACAGACCAGATAGGGAACTGTCGTCAGTCAGTGAATACAACACTCCTTTCCCCTGGCCAGGAGCATGCGTAGTTCTTTAGATAGGCCGGCCGCCTGCGTTGGCGGTTGGATCGTCTTAGCCCGGGTGGATTTTTAGCCAGGAAAGAGTCCTTCTTCTGGGTCGCGCTGGAGCCTGCAGGAGCCGGAGTTCCGTCGACGAGCGCCTCTGCCAGAGGGTCCGGCGGCAGTCCAGGTAGGCTCCTTCGCTCGGCTCGCCTTGGGAAAGTCTCTACACGCGGCGGGTAGACCGGTTCGCTCGGCGGGAAGGTCTCGGCTCTCCGCGGGTAGACCGGTTCACTCGGTGGGCAGGTCTCGGCTCTCGGCAGGTAGACCGGTTCACTCGGCTGGCAGCGTGGATCGCCGTCAGCCACTCTCCAACGCCTCCTCAGGTGGTTGATGTGCTGGCGCCAGGTACGACCATCGTCCAGGAGCACCCTGTAGGACTTAGGTCCTGTTATAGCCACAACTTGCCCTGGCCCCCATAAGGGATGGCCAGAGTAATTCCTTGCATAGACAAGGTCATGCTGGGTGAATTCCCTGGTCTGGCTGTCAGATGCCAAAGGGGTAACTGGGGTGTAATGGGGGTGCAGTCTATCCAGGGTGGTTCTAAGGCGTCTGCCCATTAGGAGTTCTGCAGGGGACTTATTGGTGGTGGTACAGGGGGTTGAGTGCTGGGTCAGTAGGTACCTGGAAAGTTTGGAGTGCCAGTTAATTGGGCCAAACATCTCCAGAGCCTCCTTTACTGACCTGACTGCCCTTTCAGCCATCCCGTTGCTAGCAGGGTGAAAGGGGGCTGTGAGGGCGTGCCTGATGCCCAGGTTGGCTGCAAAGATCTCAAATTCACATGAGGTGAACTGGGGGCCATTGTCGGATACAAGGGTGTCTGGGAGGCCATGGGTGACAAATAATCTAGTTAGGGCCTTTGTGATAGCCAGAGTGGTTGTGGAGGACAGCAGGGCCAAGTCTATCCACTTTGAGAACGAGTGCACAACGACTAGGAAAGTTTGCCCGTGCACAGGGCCTGCCAGATCAATGTGCAGCCAGGACCAAGGGGCCCCAGCATCTTCCTACCTGGTAGGAGTAGATGATGGTAGAGCTGGCCTGGTAGCCTGGCATGGTTGGCACGTGCTTACCCAGCTGGAAATCTGGGCATCCATGCCTGGCCACCACACGTAGCTGCGGGCCAGGGCCTTCATCCTGACGATGCCAGGGTTGCCCTTGTGCAGGACCTTTAAGACTGGCCCTTGTAGTTTAGCAGGGATGACAACCCTTGGCCCCCACAGCAAACAACCCTGTAGGGATGACAGCTCCTGCTGGCAAGTCTTGAAAGGCAGGAATTCAGGGGTGTAATGGATTGCTGGCCACCCCCTCCCCACCCAGTCCAGGACTTGGGCAATTACCTTGTCCCTTGAGGAGTGAGCAGCGATGTCATGGGCAGTAATGGGCAGGTTGAGATCGTTGACCTCGAAGATAGCGTGGATGGGTGCAGGATCTTCAACCGGAACAGGCAGAGGGCATCGACTGAGGGCATCTGCGTGGCATAGGTTCTTCCCCGGGCGATGAATCAGCATGTAAGAATAAGCAGCCAGGAATAGGGTCCATCTGGTCATCCTTGGGGATAGAACCTGTGGGGTTTGTTTGTCCCTAGACAAGAGGCCTAACAGTGGCTCGTGATCTGTTATTAGTTCGAAATGGTGCCCAAAAAGAAATTCATGAAAATTTTTAACAGCAGCAACTGCAGCCAAAGCCTCTTTGTCGATTTGGCTGTAGTTTCGCTCTGCTGCAGAGAAGGTCCTTGAAAAAAAGGCAATTGGTGCCTCAGAGCATTGGGGAGTCTGTGGCTCAGAACAGCCCCTACGCCAAAGGGGGAAGCGTCTGCAGCCAGGACTAAAGGTAGCTGCTGATTGAATTGAATTAATACTGCATTGGATGTGAGCAAGGACTTGACGGATTGGAAGGCATGGGCTTCCCTTGGTCCCCAATGCCAGGGGGATTGTTTGTCCAAAAGTCTGTGCAGAGGTTCTGCTATGGAGGCTTTGTGTGCGAGGAATGCAGCGTAGAAATTTAGAAGCCCTAAGAAGGCTTGAAGTTCGGTCTTGTTGGAAGGTGTGGGTGCCTCGTGGATAGCCCTGACTTTGGACTCAATTGGGTGTATACCAGAGGCATCAATTCTGTAACCTAGAAAGTGGCAATGGTGCATTTGTCCCTTTTGAGTTTAAGGCCATGCTGTCTAAAACGCTCAAGGACTGCTCTATGTATTAGTTGTGTTTTATCCATAGCTGAAACCAAAATGTCGTCAAAATAGGGGACTATGCCTGGGAGTCCTTGGAGAAGCCTCTCCATTAAGGATTGAAAAATCCCAGGGGCTACACTTACACCAAACTGGAGGCGCTTGCACTTAAATGCACCCCTATGGGTGACTATGGTTTGTAATTCTGCAGTTTGGTCATCTACGGGGAACTGTTGGTAGGCCTGGGACATATCTAATTTTGCAAAAATAGTCCCAGGCTCAAAGGAATGTAAGAAATGTTGGATGACAGGGACAGGGTAGGCGCTGATTTGTAGGAACCTATTCAGGGAAGTCTTGTAGTCAGCGCAGATTCTCACGCTGCCATCTTTCTTAAGTGGGGTGACTATGGGGGTCTCCCATTTCGCAAAATCTACTGGTTCTAATACCCCTTGCTTTAGTAATTTATCTAGCTCCTTATCTAATTTGGGGCGGATAGCAAAGGGTACCCTGCGTGGTTTCAGGCGGATGGGAGTTGCCTGTGGGTCTACGTTGAATGAAATAGGGGTACCAGAGTAACACCCCAAATCTTCGCTGAATACATCAGAATAGTCTCTGAATAGGGTGTCTACTTCAGAGGTTGAAACAGCGTGGATACCAGTTATGCTGAGACCAAGAGCTGGGAACCAGTCTAATCCTAGTAAACTAGGGAGGGCACCATCTACCACTACTAAAGGCAAGTGGCCTTTGAAGTTTTGGAATTGGATTAAAAATTTGCCTTTCCCGAGGACAGGGATGGTCCTGCCTTGGTAATCACACAGAGTCAGGTGGCAGTTCAGGAGCTTCTTCTTAGACATCCTTGGATGCATCTTCTTTAGAGTTTCCCAAGAGATGATGGAAAGTGCAGAGCCCGTGTCAACCTCCATCCTGCAGGGCTTACCTTCTAAAAAAACAAAGGTACTTATTTTGTTAGAGCCTGTTGTAGTATGATCTGAGTGGTAGCAGGTATAGCAGTCCTCAACTTGCCTTTGGAAAATAGGAGTAGACTGAGGTCTTTGTGGGAAGGTTTTCCCTGCTTGGCAGACTCTAACTAGGTGGCCTTTTTTTTTGACAGTTCAGGCAAATTGCATTCCTGAACCTGCAGGATGCCCTGAGATGGGTTCCTCCACAGCTTAGGCAGATGGGTTGCTGCCTGGGGGTAAAGTTGTTTTGTCTTGGTCCTTCTAGTTGTCTGAGGCGGTTTACTTCTTGGTCCTTCTAGTTGTCTGAGGCGGTTGGCTTCTGTTGTCTGAGGCGGTTTACCTCGATTGGGTCCTCAGAATTCTCATCTAGGGAGACTTCCTCAAAATGAATAGTTGAGCTGCCTTGTCTAATGGGGTTCCCTTGTATTTCAGCTGCTGACAGAGCAGATAGCTCAGCAGCTTGTGATTCCTCTATGGCTATAGCTAGGGTCAAGTCTTTTTTAGCTAGCAAACATCTTTTTTTTTTTTAACAAGTTTTATTAATTTTTTTCAAAACACACAAGTCGTCATTATCCATTACATATTTAAACCTTTTTCCATTATAAATTTAACAAGTCAGATAAACTATAATTCTGTTTTAAACCATTTCCATATAAACATACAAAAACCTCTTATCCATTTTCTCTTTCTTTCTCTTTACTCTTATTCCATTTTATTATTATTATTTCATCTATTTCTTTCTGACTTAGTTACCATTATTCTCATTCTATATTTCTGCAAGGTTTCATTAATTCTCCCCCCCCAAAAAAAAACATATATACACAACACACAAAACATAAAAAAAGATCTTTTTGGAAAGTAACTTGGACCCAGGTAT